TCGTCTGCCGATGCAGCCTTGAGCGACACCGACACTGCGAACCAGTGATCTGTTAAACCGTATGGAACCATTTTATGCTTCGCCTCCGTTACGCAGTTGAGAAGAGAGTGTGAAACTAAAGCCCTGTCTATCCGTGTACTCGTTTTTGCAGATCTCGAGAAGAACGTGAACTCTTTCCTGGTCGGGTGGAGGCTCCGAAAAGCGTCTTGCAGATCCCACCTAGAGCAAATCTGCAGGAGTCTTTGGTTCTCCGCCGGCGTTCCCAGTTTTGAGGACTTGTCCAGCTCCGGGTCCGCAATGATGTTCAGATCACCAAGAAGTATGGTATATGGAGAGGCACCTAGGCTCTGCACGAAGGGCGTTAGTACATCACGAAAGAAGACCCCCCTGGCAGGTGCTTGCGCAGGTAGGTATACAGCCACCACTCTGCAGGTCAGATCTCTCCATGCAATCATCAAGCTTATGAGACGGCCGGATTCGTGCCTAACCACGTCTGTGAACCGCATGCCTGGCAGGAAGCCCAAGACCGCCACCCCCCCAGCTCTCTGTGACGGGCCAACCACCGCTTGAGCTTCCGACCTGACTTGTGTCCAGAAGTTATGATCCTGTGAGACTCGTGTGTCAGTGAGTACAACAATATGTGCTGCCTTCCTGATCCATTTTCCGCATCTCTCCTGTTTCCCGCTGCTACCGAGCCCGTTGATGTTGAGCTCGAGAAAAGTTAAGCTGTTGCGTTTATCCATTAACCACTATCCTTGAGCCCCACAGCATCCACGGGCGATTGATCTTTATTGCGACGATGCATCCAGCTACAGCGAAGGCAAACATGGCACCTACTACACAGCTTGCACCAAAAATCCACAGTGTCGTCTCATCCGCTAAGCCGCTGATCACTTCTTTGCCGGTGTGGCCATGAACTCCTTTTTGAAAGCAGCCATCTTCTGAGAATGTTTGCTGACACGCGTTGCAGCACCTTCCTTTTTCAGCCCTCCCTTGTGCCTGGCAGAAGCGACATGAGCCGCCGCCTGCTCGAACCGGTTCCCTTGAGCCTTCTCGCATACAGTCTGTACGCATACCCACTCCTCCCGCACACCTCCTGTAGAGGTGAGTATGACTGCGGGGTCTTTCAAGATGCGCGTCAGAGACGCTGTGGCTTTCAGGGAAGCCGCCGCGGGAGGAGGTGAGGAGACAGTTGTCAGTACAATTCGAGAGGCATGATAGGAGCGGGGTGGACAACGAAGGTAACGAATTAGACAGCTGAGGGTGGGGGATCTTTCTGCTTATACCGTTCATGTCATGAACCTTTTTGACCGACAGGTTCCAGTTGGTGAAGTTCTTCTGCCTCGAGGTAACATAATGATCGTGGTAGCGGGACAGGTGCTGGCCGCTGCAGAGCTCGCAGGTAAGCGATGGGTAGTGCAGCATGTAGCGCCTGCCAGTCGACGGGTCCTCCACAAAGTACCTCCAGCGGTACTCATCATCAGCGTGGGGGACGAACAGACCGCGGATACGGTCGGTGTCCAGCCCAGTGACCGGATCGACGGTAGGATGAAAGCCGAAACCACTGGCGAAAGCACTCCGACCGCGCTTAACCAGCTTCGACACCACCAGCAGGTGACGAATCAGCTCAGCAGTAATGTCCGCAGGAACTCCTTTGACAACAACCTCCTTCGCCGTCGGGTTCAGCAGGCGCTCACGAAGGAAACGCGCATCTTCAGGGTGCTGCCAGGTAAAGTCGACAATGTCGCCATTCGCGCACTCGTGTCTGATGACTTGACTCCAAACGAAATTTGCATCGCGGACGTGGTTGAAGGTAACTTGAAGACGACCATAGCGTGTGCCAGAGAAATAGGTCGCTGTAAGTTCCTGGTAAGTTGTTGTCTGCAGCGCATCTGGCGACAGCTGATCCTTCCATTCTTCCAGCAAGGCAGCCACAGTTACAGCAGTCCGTTTGACTTCAGGTTTCCTGTTAAACGGCACCAGCAAGGTCAGTGAGAATCTTTTCAAAGCGATAATGCTGCCGAGCGAAGCTGGTTCCAGGTGCTCGTCGGAGTCGTCACTCAGGTAACCATCTTCGTCATCGTCTGGAGCCTGATCTGACGAGGCACCATCGTCCTCCAGCGCGTCCGCATCAGCATCAGCCTCTCCTTCAGCGGCCTCTTCTTCACCTTCCTTGTCAGCAGGATCAGCGACACCATCAGCAGCATCTCCGTCTTGCTCGCCATTGAGGTCAGTCTTGTTCTGTAGGTCCAATAAGTCCTCGAAAGGGCCAAGCACCACTGGCGACGAGGAGGTGGAAGGCGCACGCCCTTTGTCAGCAGCATCCTTCTCAGGTACCGTAGGGGTGGGTGACATATCGGCTACTTTGTCAGTGACCGTTGTCTTCTTGCTAGTCTTGTTGTTGCGAGCTCTCCCCATGGTGCGATGATGAGAAAAGCTTGACAGCCCGTTGAAGGCTGAGAGACAAGCCGGACTGAGCACAACTGACGATGAATCCGTTTGTTTATACTTCTTATGTTTGAAGCTGAAACGCTGCAGGTCTAGGCCAGGGATGGGAGCCATAACCTTAGGGAACGCCAAACAGCCAAATTGGTTAAGAGCCTCGAGTTGTGCTGAAACATAGGAAATGTCATCCTTGAAAAATGCGCGAGATGTTGACATTGCCGAGCGCCAAGCTCGATGATAAACTCTGGGAAGCTTGAGTTCTTGATAATATCCATGTGCAATAGGTAGCCTTGAAGTTGCATGAAACACTGACGACAGCCTGGAACTCGCATAAGTGGTGTTTCGGTTCCCGTAATGAACACTAAAAAGACACCATTGTGTAGAGCTTAAAGCCGCGCGTCGTACGAGTGTCTCAATGTCAAGATCAGGCTGGAAATTGATGCACATTGACTGAGTTAAAGCTCTCCGCCATGGCCATGGCTGCCTTGTCATTGTCATTGTCATTGTCATCGTCTGGTTACAACAGTGCTTCTGTCTGTATTTTAAACAATAGAATACAATTCCGTTCGCTAGTAGAACTTCTAATGTAAACCCTAATAGCCCTGGATAGTCCAAGCTGCCTTATCGAACCAAGCTCCATCTCGTCGCCCACGTGCACATTCCCTGGTCTCAGCGCCATCTATCCATTCCCCAGCGATTTGCGGTGCAGCGCGGCTCACACGCCGCCACGTTGAGAGGATGCTAGCGTTGCGTCCGTGGAACCAGATTAGAAGTCGAAACCCTAGAAGTACTCCCTTCAGAATTACTCGCTCTCGAAGCTATCACTCGCTTACACCTGTCCCTGGCGACACTTCAGCGACGGGCGACTCGCCGCTCGACTCGCCGCTCGTCTCGACCTCGTCGGGGTCGTCCCCATCGCCGCCGTCGTCGAGCTTCGCATAAGCGATCTCGCGCGGCGACGAACGGTCCAGTGAACCGCCGTGCACGTCACAACTGTATGCCTGTCGCGGCCGCTGGCGTGCCGCGCCGTGGCACGCGCCAACTCTCTCCCGCTCTCGCCGTCATATCCCTTCTGTCTTCATTCCCCGCCTCTCCTCCGTCCCGCCTGCCGGGAGATGATGACCGTTGAACCCGCCGCAATCTCCGCCGCCAGGGGTGGCGGAGGTGAGCGCAAGCACATGCGAGCAGAGGTGAGCGCAAGCACATGCGAGCAGAGGTGAGCGCAAGCACTGCGCGCGAGCAGAGGTAGCGCGAGCACGTGCGCAAGAGCAGAGGTGAGTGCAGGGCAAGCATGTGCGCGCGAGCATGGTGAGCGCAAGCACATGCAGCAGAGGTGAGCGCAAGCACGTGCGCGCGAGCAGAAATGAGCGCAAACACGTGCGCGCGAGCAGAGGTGAGCGCAAGCACGTGCGCGCGAGCAGAGGTGAGCGGAAGCACGTGCGTAGCAGATGTTGATGGTGGGCGAGTGGGCGCTCACCAGTTAGGCTGCCTCGCTTAGGCGTGTGGGGGATGTGGGGCATGTGTGGCAGGTGGGGAATGTGTGGCATGTGTGGCATGTGGGGCATGTGTGGCAGGTGGGGCATGTGTGGCATGTGTGGCATGTAGGGCATGTGTGGCATGTAGGGCATGTGTGGCAGGTGGGGCATGTGGGGCATGTGGGGCATGTGTGGCATGTGTGGCATGTGTGGCATGTGGGGCATCATGTGTGGCACGTGGGGTATGTTGGGGCATGTGGGGCATGCGCACCTTCCCTTCGCTAATTGTGCACCTTCCTCTCACTCCCCTCCCCCATTCTCTCCTGCTGTTCCCGTGTTCTCTCGGTAGACAGACCCTCTCCATCTCCCCATTGCCTCTCCCAATCATTGCCTCTCCCTCTTACTCACCACGACCCGCCCCCTTGCCATAACCTACTTTACGACGATATAAAGACAAGATTTGTCAACTGCATATAGATCGACTGTGTGTGGGTTGACGTGAAATCCAGGAGCACTGCTCGCAAGCCCACCCACTGTCACACCCTCACAAGCCTTGCCCCCAACTCAACCTGCGTGCACACAAGGTTTCGTGAACCTTTGGGAAGATTCTACAGGGCAAAGTGCCAGGCACAGTCAGGTGGAGAGCTACTGGTGGAGGAGAAAATGCTGCTGGTGGGTCAGGCCCAGCAGGGAAGAGGGCTAAAGGCAGTGACTCCTAATGCCACCTAGCATGATGAAAAGGTAGACGAGTCATGACAGGACGGATGATGCAAAAAGAATCCCGTATGACACATGCCATGCTGTGATTTGTACGCCTCTTGTCCTTTAGAGCATCATACAGAGGTGCCAGTATTTGGATGGAAGAGATCGGGCATGACAGCAGAGAGCATAAGGATGACAAAGAGATATCCAGCAATTCCCTGGACGTAGGGAATTGATTCAAGATCGCATCACCACAAGTACCACCGTACAACAGGATTTATTCGGGGTGGCTTCATCACAAGCCAAAACAGTCGACCCTACTAACTTTACTCTTTCGGCTGCACCGCATCCACGCCATGGATGATAAAAAGCTTCCCTCTAAAAATCGCCGGAGTCTTGATCTTCGCCTTGCCCTTCCCGATTGCCACCTTCTTCTTTCCCGTCTTGGAGTCCAAAACCTGCCGTATCCACACTGCGACCGTTCTCGTTCTTCAGGTCTTTAGCGAGTTTTAGGCCGTCCTCCTCGTACACTCCGTTGAGAATGTTCGTGCGAATCCAGTTCCCGTACGGGGTAACCTCGTCGCGCGTGAGCTTGGATTTCGTGAACGTGGTAACCATGTCGGGCGCCGCGGAAACGATGGCCGTGTCGTCGGGTAGGAGGACGGTTTTCCCCTCGGTGTTGGCGAGGTAGTCGTCTGGTGGGTTCCAATCGTTCTCTGATTCACATATCACAGAAAAGGGAAGAGTGAGTAATGGGGATACAACGACTGCACGAAAGCAGCATAATAAACGCAGACGAGCGACTTGGTCCTTTTTGGAAAGTTATCAACGTTGCGAGGAAAAAAGAAGGAAAGTAGCATGATTGAGTACCCAGAGTCGGAAGAATTCGGTCCATCATTGCGCCGCTGCCCTTATATTTTCCGTTCAGCTTGGGGTCATTCAGCGCTTCTCGGGCCGCCTTCACCTCGTTGATTAGATCCTCCTTGCTGGGCCGCGCGGCAGCTGACGCGAGCAGCAATGCGATCGTGCAGGCAACTGCGAGTACCGAGAGCTGCCTCGACGGCCCCGTCATGGGCCCCATGATGGCTCGTGCGCAGAAAGGATGGGGATCGAGTGACAGTAACCTTAGAAAGCAGGAGCAGGTAAGTATGTGAAGGTATGCAGAAACTGCCAAACGTGAGTGGCTATTGGTGTATTCGCACGATCGTACGACGACAAATTATAAATGAGGCGAGCTCACGCTGGGCCTAGCTGCCACACGCCAGCCCAAGGTCTATGTGTGTCTGAGGTGCACTTGATCCTGCCTCGCTTCTCAACGTGCGACGCGATTCCCATCTTCTCCTGGTCACCTGAACAACCACATCCACCTGGGTTGCGCTTCTTCCGCAGGCCCTGGCGAATTGATATGTGAGAACAGAAGGTGAAGTATAAACGGGAGTGCGAAAGGAATAAATTGTTGCCCGTCATCTGCGGGGATGAATTCACGCGGAAAATGTCTTCCCAAACTCACAGAATCGGCGGGTTCCACGCAAACTTCCAGGTGATGTTCGCGAAAAAGCATTCATCTCCCCGTTACCAATCGTTGCGCTCGCTCGCATCATTTGTCAGCCACGTGTCTCGGTCGTAACTAGCTCATTTTCTCATCGTGTAAGGAATTCTTAATTCCTTTTTCTAGTCGTGACAAGCTGTAAGGAAAATTCCTTTTCCTTACTTCGCGTCCCTGCTCAGCGCGTACACCACTGTTCCCGCCAACAGCACCCAACAGTAATACGTTACCACTCGCGACACTCGCCTCGACACTGTTCCCGCCACTGTTCACGACGCGACCCAACCTCACGGTTCGGTTGGTAACCCGCGCTCCGGACCTCCGCCTCGACAATCCCCAAACCTCGGCGCCAGGCCCGTCGCGCACCCCAATTTCCACGCATTACCGTTACCACTGTAGTTTCGCTATATATTCTTCGCTCATGCCTTCGCTCATTGTACTTTTTGCTTCGATAGTGCAATTCTCGCTCGCTCGCTCAATCGCACTCATAACACTTGGTATCAGAGCCTACGATCTCTTCTCGGACCGCACCCACACCTTCGCTTCCTCACTATCTCAATTTTTTGGGGGGGGGGTAGACGTCTCTCAGCGACACAGCACCGCCGCTCGTAGTGCTCTCTCGTAAGCACTCACGGCCACGACAGAGGCTCTCGCTGAGCTCGCCCGACACCCCCGCCATGGCCGAATTCACTCTCGCTACATTGACGCAGGAGCAACTCGACCGTCTGGTGCGCCAGGTGGAAGAATCGGCGCTCAAAATTGCGACGCTCACAGCGGAACGCGACTCCGCGCGTCAGCAATCCACGGTGAATACTCCAGCGCCACCACACGCACCGACAAATGCACCCGCACAATCGGACGAGCCGATCGTCATCTCGTCCGGCACACCAACACAACACGACAGCGTGGGACAGCGCTCAGGCGCAGCCAGTGATAGCGCCGCCCAACCAATGCCTGGCATGGGGAGAAACAGGGTCGCGCCAAGCCCCGCGGGAGCCTCGTGAAGCCCGTCGGCACGTGGAGTTCGCGGCAACAAGTGGCGATCAGGCCATTATGGCACCAATGCCACTCAAGCCGCAACGCCCGCCCTGTTTCGACCCGAGCCAGCGTGGAGGTCCGACGGTTCAATCGTGGGTCTTCACGATGAACGTCTTCTTCGACGCGAATTACGTCGAGTCGGACGCAGCGAAGATCCGATATGCCGTCTCGCTGCTGAGGGGCCCCGCCATGGACTGGTGGCGAGTCATCGTGACGTCGCCATGCGCCTACGAGCCACCGTCGCAAGAGGAAGGGCCCACGGGTCCAGCCGTCACCTGGAGTTCATTCTGCGAAACCGCCCAGTACAGCACGTGGGACGCGTGGTGCGCAGGGCTTCGGGCGCGTTTTGAGCCGATCGCGGATTCTATTTCGGCGCGTCAGAGGCTGCGTACTTGGCGGCAGCTCGGGTCGGTTCAAGATTACACGAGCGGTTTTCTCGCATTATGCGCGCAAGTCGGCTACATGCACGAAGCGGAGCGGGTGGACCGTTACGTTGGAAGGCTGAAGCCGGACATCTCGCACGAAATCATGCTACGCGGACTCTCGAACTTCAACGAGATTCTCGCGCTCGCCGAGAAAATCGACATTCTACGCCGACCGAGACCGGGGTCCTACTACGGACATCGTCCTCGGGGGCCGATCGAGCACGCCACTGTACACGCCGTTGCGACGAACGCAGCTGTCGCGCCGTTTAAAGGGCGCTGCTTTGCTTGCAACAGGCCGGGCCATTGCAAGAGCGAATGCCCAGAGGAGCTGAGGCGCCGCGGAGCAGAGCAGGGGAGGGAGTCTCAGAGGCAGGGAAACGCCAGCAGTCTGTAGAAGTTGGGCCAACTACTGACGAGACTGCCTGCTCGCCCAACCGCACCGACCCTCACCGAGTCACAGTACCGATTCACGCCATCGATCGGGCTCGGATGAATAAGGAGGGTACAGCGACGGATCGCCCAGTACTGATCCACGGGAAAATACAGGGAGCAGCAGTAAAAATTTTTATCGACGGAGGAGCAAGTCACAGTTTAGTTAATACCGCAACCGCACGGAAAGTGCAGCTGACTCTTAGCCGGTGCTTACCAGAGATCGATGCACGCTTAGTTGACGGCACGCCGCTGGCCATACGGGAGAAGGTGGAAAGAGTAAAAGTTCGCTGCGGGGGAAACGTCAGGTTTACACAGGAAATGCTCGCGACGACACTGGATGGGCACGACATTTCACTGGGACGTGATTGGCTGCGACGCTACAACCCGCGAATTGACTGGACGACAGGAAGCTGCACTGTGCGAAGTAGCGGTAACTGGATCGACCTACCTCGCTGGCAGTCGCCTGAGTCTTCAACGGTCCGTCAATGCCATCACGATGAAACGGGCAGTCGCCATTAGAGCTGACGTGTACGCAGTGGACATTGCAGTAGTAGGGGAAGCAGAGCAGGCGAACGATTTTCAGAAACTGTTAGCAGCAGTACCACCCGAACTACAGGAGCTGTTGAAACGGTACCCGGGGATCTTTCCCGACGACTTACCGGAGGGACTGCCACCTCAGCGGGCGCACGACCATATGATAGAGTTAGAACCAGGGGCACAGCCAACTGTACAGCGCTAGTTCAGACTGACACAGCCCGAGCTCGACGAACTGAGGAAGCAGTTAGATTATCTGTTAGAGAAGAAGTTTATCCGACCGAGTTCGTCCCCGTTCGCCGCACCGATACTTTCACGCCGAAAAAAGACAGAGGATTCCGCATGTGCATTAACTACAGAGCACTGAACAGGGTAACAGTCAAGTCGCGCTACCCGATTCCCCACGCCGACGAACTGATCGACCAACTGCAAACAGCACGGGTTTTTTCGAAAATAGATTTACGGGGAGGTTACCATCAGATTAGGGTCGAACCATTGGACTGCGCCAAAACAGCTTTCCGGACTAGGTACGGGTCATTCGAGTACACAGTGATGCCCTTCGGGCTGACCAACGCACCAGCGACATTTCAGATGACCATGAACGAGGCGTTTAGGCCACTTTTAGATAAATGCGTGATAGTTTACCTCGACGACATCCTCGTCTACAGTCGCGACAAGCAGCAGCACTTAGCAGATCTGGAAGCGGTATTCAAGATTTTAGACGGGCATCGGCTACTGACCAAAGGTTCCAAGTGCGAGTTTTTTCAGGACAGGCTAGAGTTTTTGGGGCACGTTATTTCGGAGGCTGGGGTCGAAATTGACCCGAAGAAGTTGGACACGGTCAAAGCCTGGCAACCCCCGACGAATATCACGGAACTACAGAGTTTTTTAGGGTTCGTCAATTACGTGCGTCGGTTCGTCCCCGACATGACACGGATAACCGCGCCGCTGACGGACTTGTTACGGAAGGGGGTCGCTTTTACGTGGGGGGAGAAAGAGCATGCTGCCTTCTCTGCCCTGAAAAATGTTCTCTGTTCACCAACCGTCCTGCGCATCGCCGACCCACACCGCCCATTCGAAGTCGTTACAGACGCCAGCGACATCGCCATCGGAGCTGTACTGCTACAGGACTTCGGCAACGGCCTACAGCCCATCGCATACGAGTCACGGAAACTGCATCCGCCCGAGAAAAACTACCCGATACACGACCGCGAAATGCTCGCGATCGTGCATGCGTTCAAGGTGTGGTGCAGTTACTTGACCGGCGCAGACGTGACAGTACGGACAGACCATAGATCACTACAGTACCTCCGCGCACAGCCCCACCTCAACCCACGACAGATTCGCTGGCTCGATTTCCCCGAGTCCAATTTTCACTACACGGTCACCTACAAAAAGGGAGCCTCGAACATCGCCGACGCACTGACCCGCCCCACTGCCCAGATCCATGCAATACTACTTGCCGAGACCAGCCCACTACTGACAGGCCTATTTACCCACGGGTACCAAACGGATCCATTCTTCACAGGAGGAAATTCGCAGCAGTTCGCAGCAGCAAGGGGAGTCTATTACGTAAAAGCCGGGACCGACCGCATCTGGGTGCCCGGGTATACACTGCTACGGGAATTACTGTTACAGGAGGCACACGACGGAGTTACCTCGGGACATTTCGGGGTAGAGAAAACACGGTAGCAGCTGCAGCGGTAATATTACTGGCTCGAGATGTTGACCGACGTACAGCGACACGTGGCATCGTGTCCCACTTGCCAGCTCATGAAATCATCACGGAAGCGGCCGGCAGGACAGTTGCAGCCGATACCACCCCCAGAGCGTGCTTGGCAGCAGGTGACGATGGACTTCGTCACGGGGTTACCGGCCGGGGCGAGTGGGAACGACGCGATCCTGGTCATCGTCGATCGACTGACGAAAATGGCACATTTCGCAGACAGCCAGAAATCGATCACCGCCGATGAAACAGCCCGCCTCTTCATCGCCACTGTCGTACGACTGCACGGGATACCAGCAGCGATCATCAGCGACCGAGACACGAAATTCACCAGCAACTTCTGGCGGAACCTGTGGCAGCAGTTTGGCACGCGGCTACAG